AACGTTTATTGAAGAAAAAAATAATCGTTTTTAAGAACTCTAGTTTCTCAGTACTACATTTGAAAATTACACCAACAAAGATATAATCAAACCCTCACGTGTAGTCCTAGTGAAAGTCGTGTTCTTGTTGTGAGGAGAGTACTTTTATATAAAATTGTTATATTATAAAGAAATGGTTGTTACATATACCATAGTTATTTTACTAATTGTCTGAATCTTGAATACTCAAAGTGTGAAATTTTTTATGGATTGTGGTGCCATTCAATAGATGGCGCCACATTGAATTTATTATTTCGGTCACATACATATATACACGCTACGTCCATTATAATAAGATGGCCCTTCAATACTACTATTTATGATATCATAGCATATGGTCTGAAAAATTAACTAACGCTATAGCCAACGTTTAAATATAATTGTGTTGGGCATATTATAAACTATTTATGCTAAAAGTAGCGCAAATAAAGTATTTTTGTGTAGTATGTCGTGGTTTGACTACCCAGAATTCCAGTAGGGGTAAACAAAGGAATCTAATGGGAACCTTGAGACTCAGGAACGAACCACAGTTCTTTTTGTTTTTTAGTTTATATAGATGTTCTTTTCCTTCCTGAAAATGACCTCATTTTAACATATCTACGTTTGAAAGCTACAGAAGACCAGTTTCTTAATGTTGGATATAAAGCTTGTTTAGTGTAAGAGTTATTATTTAGTAATCGAATATTTAATGATTACTTAGATTACAAAGTACGGATGCACAGGTAGTAAAATTTGGCCGAATACCGGGTCCAGGTACCCGGTCACTAAGCTTCCGCCGCGGCCGTTTGTCAGTCGGAACCAAGTTCTCCCCTTGCCCTAGAAACAAAAACAAAGTAGACATTTAACATTGAAAGTTGAAAGTAAAACTTGAATGTTCTGTTGGTGATTATTCGGTTAAATGTACCTAGCCCAAACTTCTCAAACCCTAACCCCTATTGTTCTCAAAGCCCCCACCTTCCCCAGAAATCCACTTCTCAAGTCATGCCTGTTATTAACCCCTATTGTTCTCTGAATCCCCGACTTTCAGTGGGCGGTCAGTTTTTGTTGCTCGGAACATGTGTGTTTTTTTTTAACTAAACAAATTATTGACTGTAACTTTCAGTACTGTGTTAGTTGTCACAAAAATTAAGCCTTAGATTCCTATCTTTGACTTTCAGCTGGAGCTTAGTATTACCGGGTGGCCCAATACCCGGCCGGGTCCGATTATATGGCCAGGTACACATGCATCCCTAGTCACAGTTAATTTCACAGCTGAATACACACTATTTATTTACCTTATGTGTATTTTTTTACCTGAAATTGTCATAAATGCAACACTCACATTTTATCACATGCAAGTTTTACAACTGTTTAAATGCATAGGACATTATGAGCACATGAAAAACTGGGGAAAAAAAAAAAAAAAGCCTGAATAAAACCCCATTACATGATACTGTATCACAACCTATGCACACGTGACCTGTGTACACACACAAAAATAAATAAACCTGTGCATGAAACCATAACACTGTTAATATGAATAACAATAAGCAAGTGGTTTTTGCTGTGACATACTAATATCAATAGATTAACCAATTAAAAGTCAATGTGTTTTATTGTTGGTTGAATAATTTTGTTAGCCTGCTGTAGCTTCTATTCATGTCATTACTAAGAGAATAAAACAATCAAAATCCTGGCAAACCAAATATCCCATATTATAACTGAAGATAAATTGATAAAAATAAGTATAGAGAGAAATACATGTTGATATTCTACTGCTTTATCATACTATCAAAATGTAAGCTTCTAGAGTACTTTCTGCCATTATGTGATGCTCACTATCTTAAATACTGTCACAAAATTTATGGGCCGCATCCATGACTAATACAATGACTGCTGGGTTATGCAACAAGACACAGTAATACATAGAATTATTAATAAAATAATGTCCTAAAACGTTTATCAAAACAATAAAAAGAGTACTGTTCACTTGAGCTTCGAATCCAGAAAATTGCCTGATTATACTCAATTAGGTGTTGGGTTGGAAAAACTTAGAAGGACATTTTACATGTGTGAAACAGATAGTATTATATGTATTTAATTAACATGATTAAACATGAACAGTTAATGAACAAGTAGTGTTTAATTAATAATTTATCTATCTGTGGAAAGATTCAAATTTCAACCTGATTAATGAATGATGTACATATATTTTTTAAAAACATCCTGGACACCAGACACTTAAGAATGAGTAGACTGTTTTACCCAACAGGATTAAGTAACATAAAATACTTGTAGGACACGGGAAAATAACAGACCTATGTGTCAGGTGAGACGTTGCATCATCTACAGGTACTCCTGGCAAGAGATGACTACTAGAACTCGGAGTGAAGACTTTAGTTTCTGTCAACTAAATTAAAAAATAAAGTCTCGCTGATTGTTATAAATTGAAGTATCGAAACTTAATTACAGAGAACATCTATGTACATTCTTTTATTAAATGAATAAACATATTTAGAAATTTACTGATGTGATCCAATCCATCTAATCAATATTACGGCTCAAAAATAAGCAAGAGCATCCTGATAATGAAGAACAAGCAAGGATTTAACATGTTTTGACATGGCAGGGTGAAAGTGCATGCAAATTTTCTTTTTTTAACAGATTTACATTCGAAATTTAATTTAAAAACCTTAATATACATGACTGAAAAATTGGTATCAAAATATAAACAGCTTCACAGAACAGTATCCTAAATTCATATTTTGTAAATTTTACGTCCTAATATAGGAATGCATGGTGTTTAAACCTAGGATTATATGAACACTGTTTAACTCTTTCGGCACAGGTTCGGTCCCTGGGACCGACCTCGTAACCATTTTGTGCTTGTTGTAGTTTTCATGCTAAAACTTTTAAATTTGTAAACGTATGTTAACGAAATTTGGCAGATTATCAGTAAACATTACAATGCTTTTACATGCAAAATATCAATTTTTTTTATTGTCTTAAAGTTTGTAAAGCAATGTTTTTCACATGCCTTTTTTTTATATTTTGCATATTGCCTATCCAACATACAAAGTACTTTTCATTTTATGTATGAGAAAATTTTCAAATTTCACATTCAAAATCTTTATAATATACATATAGTTATCAAAAGTTTCTCAAGGAAAAACTATATTTTATCTGTTATTTTCAGTATCAAAGCTCCGTATGGGTTGGGTAGATTTGACCGATCTCGTAACCACCATAAAAAAATTAGGAAATATAAATTATGCCTCTTTCATTCTAGAATGACAATAAATGCTAACAGGAAAACATAAATGTTTAAACTAAATAGCTTAGATCTCATAATATTATACATTTATATATATATTTATTATTTTTATTATATTGACCTTTCACCCATGCCTAGCTAACAATACAGAAGTTACAATGATGCGGCTCACATGCCATATGTTACCATATCAAATAACATAAAGGTGACCTTTGGTTTGTACAAAGTAACTTGCCTTGGCTGTGTTTTAGTCGACTAGTATTTTGTAAAATACGCACATTTCAATTATTATACATTATATATGTATATAGATCATTGCTATTTTGAAATAAGTTCTTAAACGTATTTTTCCTAAAACACAGAACAGTAAATAAAGAAGTAAAGCAAACAATTATCTCTTCTAGTTACGACCTTTGTACTCGGTTGTTGCTTGACGTAGGTTGCTAAGCCTTTAAAAATTTTGCACATGAAGGATATGAAACATTTTTTTAGGTTTTATATGTAATTAAGCTGTATTTCAGTCTTAAAAAACATGAAATTCTGAGCAGACTAAGGACACAACCTACCTCCTTGACATTCTGAGCTTCCAATTGGTTATTCGTGTCACATATAGAAGTGTATATAAGAGAGCATTTCCAAAAATGTAATGAGGTGGGTGGGGTTTCACATTGTCAATATCGGTAATTTGAGTTCCTACTTCATACAAAACTATAGACTTAGTATTTTGACATCACAAACATTTAATATGAACCAGTGCTGCATTCAGCATACCATGTAACACACAAAAATCAATGTTTAACTGTGTTTTTTTAATACGTACTTTTAAAATAAGAAATTGAGTAAGGTATAATACTAAAATTTGAATTATAATCTACAGTTTGATACCAAACTTATTGACATAAATTCATGAAACAGTGGTTCAATAAAATTTTGAATGCGAGTCAACAAACGCAATAACATGGCTTTTCACCCATAACCCGTCTGGAAATGGTTAAACACATTTTTTAAACTACTTATGCATCAAATTATTTTGGGCCCATGACTCTGGTGGTTACAATGTCCCTAATAACAGATGAGTCACACAAAATAATTTAAACAAACATATCATCAATGCTGCAATAAGATTAGCTGCACAGACTTAAATGATAGCTAGAACAAACACATAAATGTTCATTCACACACACAGGGAATTCTAGCCATCCAATAGATGGATATTTTAAAGAACGTACTTGTATTGCTAACTTTGATAACAAAGAAGCCACCGCAGGACATTACATCACTCTCACATGGCATAATTGATAAGATGCCATACAATATCAAAATTTATAGAGAAATATGATAACTTCTATCGATAGCTACAAAACTATTGTTATTCCATGTAAGGTTTATTTTACTTATCTACTTTTAAAATCCTTCAAATTCACCCCTATATTACTGGGAATCAAAGGGGTCTTGAAAGCTTTCAGGAAATTAACAAAAAAAAGAAAATTTTATACAATTTTTCTGTGTAATTTGTAAATTTTTACAAATAGTCTATTAGTTTAACTTATTTTTAAAAACAAGCTCATTCCTTAAGAGTGTATAAGATGGTTAGGTTAAAAAATGAAATACATCAGGGCAGCAACTTACACTTTCTGTCCAATCTTCTTCACTCCAATCTTCTACAGCAGCAATATCTGACCAGTTACCTGAAAATTGGGTTGAATTAATTAGAAATAAATCTATGGATGATTTTTCAGATCCATATTCTTACTTTAAAATATTTTAACAGAAAATTTTAATACAGTTGGTCAAGTAACAAAAAAAAGGAGTGTAGAATTTGTATAAATATAGATGACAATAACATAAATACATTTTATGTTTGAACTAACTAAAATCACAGATAATTCAGTTACATTACACAATTAAATTTTTTTTATCCTAGATATCATGGGATAACAATAACGTTTTAGAAACACACTCTGTAATATATTACTCATTACATATCCTTCAGATAACACCAGTGATAGTTGAAAAACTACAATGTTTTACCAAGTAAAGCTTAGGTTTCGTGTTAAACTTTTTGAAATTTCACATTTATTTTATTCTGCCTGATTTCATTTAAATATTACCCATACATTTCCACAAACATACCAACAGACATAGTAGCATCTCCTCCACCTCCCATTTCTGCTTGCTCGGCTGTGCTGTTTGTCCATGTATCAATGGACTGAGGAAAAGTATCACCAAATCCTCCACCCATCTTCTGATTCTGAAATGTTCGACTCCTGTTTCCACCTCTGCTTCTTCCTCGCCCTAAAGAATTAAGAAAATATTTTAGGACTCCAGTCATAAAAACTAAATTCTCTCTATTAAAAAGTTCATAACAATAAAACTATCCGAAATATTACATACAGCAAAAAATAAAAAAAGCTTACTTGACAAAAGTATATGAAATACATAACTTTGATGATCATTAGAGGTCACCAGATACATTAAGCTAATTATTGTTTGTACGATCAAAATACAAATTCAATAGAATGATTTATGAGAATAAATTAACTATTGGTGAAGATACGCAACAGAGATGTACACTTTTGGCAGGAAATTTGGTATCTACAGGTTTTAAGGTTGCTTATTTCACAAATTTAGGGATACAAATTGTCACACAATAGATTCTACTTAAAAACTATGGGCAGATCTTGTGTGGATTGAATGTGTATTGAATAAAGGCACAAACAAGTGAAAATCATCAACAGTTTTTCTCATCAAAAGCAGGATGCTCTAGTTATGATTACTCTTCTAGTGGTCTCTTAACCAAATCTTTCCACTTTTACTGAAAAACAGGACGAGTTTCAAACATTAAAACTCGTTCTTACCGGTTGCTACTTGCATGAGCATCAATTGTACTTGTCACTCCAGCTGAGATTGTCACACATTTTAAACAGTGTTATTCTTTATGTGATTTTTATTTTATCTCATAGAAGGAAGACACAAGTGCACTTGCTCATTACTTCATCAACTGTGTCATTTGACTCATTTTTGCACCATGGCAACAACTTTGTTTTGTAATATTTTGTAAACATCAAGTTCATTTTTTAAAAGATATGAATTAAACCAAGAAAACTAGGTGTTTTGGAAAACATCCAGGTAATGATGGCCAGTACTAAAGTAGTTATTTAAATTTGAAATATCAAATCATATTCAATTCAAATTTGCATGACCCTCAATTTTAACCAGAAAGCATTGCTCTGAAAACTTGCTTCTCTAACTTTTGAAATCAGCATATCTTAAAACCTTCATACAGCAATTTTATGGATCCTGCCAGAAGTGATCATCTGCTATCGTTTTTATCACATATCCACTCCATTAAATCCATCATGTACTATGAAACTGTCACTCTGTTGTTTTTTTAAGATTTCTAGAACAGTAATAAAATGTTCTATAAATATAATGAGTAATTTCTTAGTTCCAAGAATTAATCTAAAGAGATTAACAAAATGTTCAACTCCTTCTGAAATATAACTTACTTCCACCTCGTGGTCTGCGGTTAGGTTCTGATGTTCTTTCTTCAAGATTACGTTCATTCTTCTCATTTTCTCTATTGCGCCCTTGAAAGATAGAAAAAAAGTCAGATTACTACAAGTAACAAAAAAGACAGATATTTGAAAGGATTTTAACTGTTGTTAAAACATTAAAAGTATACAAGGCTACTGAAGTGCTGACTGCTGGTTTTAAATTCTAATTTCATTTTGTACCAGGCTAAGTTATACTACATTATAAGTAGTTCTATGATTTACAATACAAAAAAGAGGAAAATAAATATAGCAACAGTATAACTATTTATTTGTTTTTAAAAACATCTCGGCAGATACAATTTTCAAACTAAACAACATACAAGACCTATTTCAGCTCATATAAAAATGTTTACTTTTCACCATTTAAGGATAACAATAAACATTAAAAATTGATAATAAATAAGAAAATAAAAATGTTTACTTTTCACCATTTAAGGATAACAATAAACTTTAAAAATTGATAATAAATAAGAAAATAAAAATTCAACTAATATAATGTATTTTTCTCCACTCTTATTATATCACAGAATACTGATGTTTTAACATCAATGATCTTCTGTATATAAAAATGTAAACTCACAGTTTCTCCCCCCACCCATTCTATTTAGGCGAGGAGGGCCCCTATTTCGAAATCCATCCCGCTCTCTAGGTTCCCGGTCTCTACTTCTTTCACCCTTGTTTCTGTTTTCTTTGTTGTTTGTTGGGCTAGTGTTATTTGTTACAGAAGTTTCTGCTGGTTTCTGGGCTGCAACTTGGCGGTGCTTTTTCTTTTTGCCAGTTGTTTCCCATTTACTCTGTAAGAGCAGTAAAACATTTAAACATTTTTCCACATGACAAACAGTTTAAATACATTTGGAATTATGAAAAGCATTTCTGAATTTATTTCATATTTTTCATTTCACTGGAGATTGATGATTTCACTACAGTTTATGTCAAAGTAGAAAAAATAAGAGATAAAATATTGTTTTAAAGAAACAATAGGGAATTCTCATTAACTACGGCACTTGAAATTCTTTTAGGCAGGATTAGAGTAAATTAATATATGAAACCTTTTTTCCATTTTATTAGCTATATTTTTGTGCGCCAGCAATATCAAGCGTGGGGTGCACATATACCCAATTCAGTTTTATTGCTCATCGGGATCTCTACAAGCCTACCCTCAAACTGAAATTCTTTTAGGTAGGATTAGAGTAAATTAATCTACAAGACCTTGGGCACAGTCAAATATATCAATCAAAAAAGTTTGACATCCTGAGTCCAAAACTGTAATTAAATCTCAAATCAGTAAAGAGATGATGGAGGTACAAGCTAAAACTGAAAAACTCAAGAGCCATTCTACGAGCAGTGGCTAAACAAAAGTTTGATATTCACCAAAATGTTTGTAGAGATTATGTTTGCAAATGAAGTATTAAAACTGTATGATAAAAAGAAGCATTTTTATACTTAGTATGAAAATTACCTTTCACTCAAACCGACCCAGTAAAGGCTTTGTAACTATACACACAACTTTAGTAAAATTACTTTATAAAAAAAAAACAGAGTTTTTGTACACAAGAGACTTGTAATTGCACCAAATTTCATGAAAGTACACTTAGCATGTAAGCTTTTATGGCTATGTGGTGGTTACAAGGCTGATCGAAGTGACTGAGCCCATATGCATAAGGTTAATACTTAACACATGATTTAAGTATTTGACCAGTAGTGACTGATTTGAGGATATACAATTTCAAATAGCAGAATTCGGTACTTTATCTGGTAAGGAATCAACCGAACATTAAACACACCTCTCCACCTGACACTAAAAAAAGGAAGTAACTGTTATTTTACTTTTCTTTATAATATTAATATAATAATTACCAAAATGATCACAAAAATAAAATTTAATTAAAGTCAACAAGTTCACAATTCATAGTTCGAACACTAACTTCTGTTCACTTAAGAGCACCAATTTGTTGTGACAGGTCCCAGAAAACAAACTTTATACTTCCAAGAACAACTTTCTACAACAATGTGGAAAAAATAAGCCATGATATAATGAACAAATTAACTCAGTTTTCTCCTCTCTGTACTGCCTATGTCAATTGAATGACATCTTTACGATCAATGTAAATATAGCATAGTGTTTACTATTAACTCTCTCAACACAGGCTCGATCAATTTGACTGACAACTTGACCTCTTTGTACTTGTTTAGTTTTTATAGTGTGATATTACCAACTTTTAACATAGTTTGAATATCTTCACAAAATTTGGAAGATTTCAGTAAACATTACAAGTCTTTCACATACAAAAAAATCACATTTTTAGTGAAGTATTTTTAATAAACTAAAAAAAAAAGAGATTTGTCCGTGAATATGTCGAGTAGTTTTTTCCTTAGTCCCAGTACAAAGTGATTTTCATGTTAATATTAAAAAATACTTTTCTTTATCTCAAAAATCTCAAATTTCATTTGCATAATCTCTAAAACGTCTTAAGTACATTTCAAATGTTTGTTTTCAGTAAAACTTTATATTCTATCTACTATTTTCTCTACCCTAACTATATACAACGTTGGTCAATTTGACCAACCTTATAACCACCAAAAACAAATCGAAATAAACCTATTTTACTATTTTTTCTTTCTAGAATGACTTCAAATTGTAACATGAAACTACATTCATTTATCCTAAGTATATTTAAATCCGTAACTGTATAGATCTATTTATACTTAAATTTTATTGCCCTTTGCACCGTGTCTGACTACTATTGATTCCATTATAAGTTGTAAATAACTCAGGGAACATGGAGCTCATGTTATGCTATTGAATTACACCATCCACGAACTACTCGCGTGCATACTTTGTGAAACATTTTTATTATATTATTTATCATTTTACTTAATTTAACCGTAACTAACCTAAAGAGATCCATACTTTTACATTGTAGTTACTTTCATAACAATAAATAATGAATAAGCATGAAAAACAAGAAATGTCAACTGTCAATTACACTTAACCTTACTTTTTTTTTAATACTAACGGTAGTAATGCACTGAATAATTTTTATTTAATTACATAATGCGCCAAAGAACATAGATTAATACCATGCAAAAAAGTAATCATTTTCCTCTAACAATCACAATTTTTCTGGCATGCTAACTATGCGACAAAAGCCGTTACAAATTCATCCAAGCTAGTCATACGTAATATAGTGTATTTTGACAAATGAAAAGTGACTTTCTATTGGTTATACACAATATAAAATTAAACATAAGAAAGAACTATTAACAAATCCTGCAAAAGAGAATGTTACAAGTGGGTGTGGCAAGAGGGGTGTGATTTTTTATGATGCTCTGTAACCAAACAAAATTGAAGGCTATAAAAATTATGGTTTGTCTGAGCAATGATGATTTTATAGTGAGTAATTTACGTTAAATTTCGTACTTATTGGAGGAGTGGTGAATAAAATATAGAAGAGGGGATGCCTAGAGAAAATATGTCACACCAGGGGAAATTCAGGATTTTTTTTAAATATTGCCTTATAAAATTAAGAACTTAAAACTTGTATAATATTAAAATATGGATTATTAGCTATGATTTTATGCTATACTAATTTGTATAACATAAACTAAAAGTAGTTTAATAAAATTTTGAATGTAAGACACTAAAACCTCATGACATGTGCAATAAATGATACTCAGGCAGGGAGGGTTAATACTGGCAATTATATGATGCCATTCAAATTGTGATTGGAACATTGCAGCATTGTTATCATGAATTTAATCAGGTCTTGAAGTCAAGAATACAGTATCATAATAGCCTGACACTTTAAAACGTAGAGCAACAGTTGTTTCTTCAATACTTCTGTATAACTGATCTTAACAGTATAGATTATGAAAAAGAAAATAAAAAGAATAAAATTTCTAATAAAGACAGTATAGCAAATCTTAACAAAACATTCTTTAAAAAAGCCATCTTAATTTCCCACTATTTTAACCCTTTCCAGCCCAAATGTTCCGAGTATCATTTGGTGAAAATGTTAAACATCAATTTTAAAAAATTATTTCCTCCAAAATAAAAATTTTCTTTTGATGCAAGTTTTATCAACATTAGTTTTGGATGAAATAAAAAAAAACAAAAAAAAACTAACCCTAAGGTAATAACTTTGAATTTTCCTGCATGTTTGTTTATTTTACTGAAGAAATTGTCTTGGCAGTTCATTCTTTGTGTACAGTAACTTTAATTTTGTAACTGTAGTCTGAGGTCAAGCCAACAATAAACAACAGAATGGTATTTTGCTGTTGGTCAAAGATAACTGGCGTTAGATCATTTTGAACATGTTAGCTATGTTATTATATGTAGGCCGTAAATAAGTTTTATGTATAAATTAAAGTGAGATAAATACTATCTGTTTATATTAGTCTGAATTCTTTAGACGATTTTTCTTTGGTACCATTTCTTTCAATATAGCAGCTTTCCATGCAACCCCATTAGGCCTTACGTGTTATGTGTATCTCAACTAGCTAACAATTCAGTTGCAACACAACACATGCATAATAGCATGGTAAATGGTATGGTAAAGGCGTGGCAATACAGTGATACAAGTATCGTATCATGAAGTCGAAATACAATTGTATCGACACATCGTCCGATATGATATGACTTATCTATCTTCATGAAATTTGGCTAGTTTTTCAGTAAACATTACAAGTCTTTTGTACAGAAAAAATTAGAATTTATAATAAAGAATTTTTGCTAAAAATTAACGATTCAATAAAGGAAGATGAGCATTGAGTACTATATGTTGTCTTCATTTCTTTTATCAAAAATATTACATGGAAAGTAACAAATTAACAATAACAAAATAGATAGACAGATATTAACCTGAGAATTTGAAAAAGCACTGTAAAGTGTGAAGTACACAAATAACATAGATAATAAATTACAGACAAGACTCAAACTCTGTAGCAAACATTTGGTAAAACATTTTTATCTAGATATGTATTGTATCGCGACATCAATATCTAGATAAGTATCGTATTGAGTACTATGATAAGATATACAATAGCTATGTTACATAACAGTTTTATTGTATTATAAATCATAAGTTGTTCAAAAAAATTAAATTTATGTTTCAAAAAGTGTCACAGATATCTGTTGCATATTTAAAATATCTATGTTCCAGACTTGATGTCATTTACAAATTATTAATTCATGTTTATATAAAACATAACCTTGGCAATATACTGTACCCTAGCATTGAATGATTTCTTCCCTTGATTTTACACCCAAAGTAACAATACACTTTAACAATATACCTCACTTTGGTCTCCTTCCAAAAGTAATGCAACTGCTTTGTCTGGATCATTGTCACAGTCATGTAGGGCTATAACAGCATCGTCTTTTGATTTCTTTGTTATCTCCATCACCTGATAGGAATCGTATAAAACTTTATAGCAAAAAAAGGGACTGAACTTTTACAAAAACTTATTATTTTTTGATAACATAAATAGTTATAAACAATAAAAAGATGTTGATATCACTAATCTTTTAGAAGTTTGTACTTCAAAATTTATGAGACATGAATCTTGTCAGAAGAAAAAAGTTTACTTTTAATATCGAAGGAAGTTATATAGTGTAAACTAAGAAGATATAAAAATATTATTTATTAATACTTAATTCTAGTTTATCTAAATTGTTGAATGCTCATATTGAAAAATATTTCTCAGTTTCCTTTACCATTCACCATTAAAAAAATTGTTATGGGTTGAAAAATATAAATATTAATAGTTAGTAATATTTGCCATCAGTCTGAAATTGTAATTTATATTAGTTTTGTCAAATCAAATATTTCCTATTCAATGTTTTTCACACAAAAAACCTGCTAAAAAATTTATTTACATACTCTGGCATTTCATAAAATAAAATAATGTTTCTAATATATGTGATAATTTAAAGAATATTGCATATACAGAATCCTGATTATCACAAAAATAGATACAAGTGAACACAACATGAAAAAACCAAACCAACATACACAACTATATATGAATTACAGATAACTTTTACTGGCTAATACTACATAGCATGAACCTATTATATCAAGTACTTTATTACCCTCATGTGTCTTGCCTTTTTACAAGTTTAGATTTAAACTTATTTTATGCTTCATTAACGTATGTGTTCATATATACACGAGTTAGTGGGTATATATACGTAATATGCAATGAATGCAAAAGATGGGAGGGAATGCAAGTTATCACTTGTACTGTATTGTGGAAAATGGAGGTCTACTGTGAGATCTGCAGTCATTTAACACTCTTGACTACAGGCTCAGTCGAATCGCCCGTGTTTGTGACCCAAAACTAACTTTTATAATTTCCATACTATAAATTCTAATATGTTCTGTATATCTTCACAAAAGTTTGCAAGATTTCACTAGGCATTAAGTCTTCTGTTGACAAAGAATTAGAATTTTTAATGAAATATTTTCACCAAAAACTTCTTTGTGAATATATGAAATCAATGTATTGACTGCTCCAAGTGCAAAGTGATTTTTATGTTAAGATTAAAAATACTTTTCTTCATCTGAAAATTGTCAAATTTAATTTACGTAATCTCTAAAACCAAACCTCCTAAATAAATTTCAAACGGCTTTTTTTCGGTAAAACTTTATTTATTATGTGATTTTCTCTATCCTAATTCTATATGAGATTAGTCAATTCGACTGACCTCATAACCATAGAAAAATACGAAATAAATCTAAATTACCTTTTTTTCTTTCTAGAATGACTTCAAACTGTAACATGAAACTAGATTTTATCCTAAATAGCTTTAAACTTGTAACAGTATATATCTGTTTATACTTTTTTTGTTTTACTGCCCTTTGAACTGTGTAAATCACTTTGCAAATTTGTATCTCACGTTACTCTATCAAATTACGTAAGGCACAGGCTACTCGTTTGCAAGCATACCTTGTGATAATTTTTTATCTTACCTAATTTCACCTTATCTAACATAAAAAAAATTAATTTTTTAAATTTTAATTACTTTTATAATAATAAATAAAGAATATACATTAAAAACACGAAACATATTACTTACATGGATCACCTTTTTTTTTGGTGTCAACTGTCTGTGAAACTTAACCCTAAATTTTTTATCCTAATGGTACTACTATACTAAATATTTTATTTAATTAAATAATGCAGCTAAGTACACAAAATAATAATACGTAAAAAGCAAACAATATCTGATAACTATTAAAATTTTTCTGGTTTTGTAACTATTAGATAAGAGCTGTTAAAAATTCAGCTAAGCTCATCGATGTATTTCCCTCAGGAATAAATTTTGAACTGGAAGCGAAATAGACAATTCTCTGTACAGAAAATAATGTAATATAATATGTAACTGACAGATTAAAACTTTGGCTAGCTATCTATTGGTTATAAATATAGTGACAGAGAAAACTATTGGCAACTTGTGAAAAAGACGATGTGATAGGTGGGCATGGCAAGAAGGATCTGATTTTCTATTTTATGGCTATGTAACTAAATAAGCTTGAAGCCTACAAGTAGTATGCTTTGCCTGAGTGATAATAATATTATAATGAGTAATTTACATTAAATTCTGTATTTCTTGGAGGGGTGGTAAATAAATTAGGGAAGAGAGGATATCTAGAGAGCAAATGTCACAATTCTCATACCAAGGTGAGACTGAGGATTTTTCAAAAATATTTATTTACAAAATTAAGAACTTAAACCTTATATAATATTAATATTTAATTTATTAACTAAGTTTATATGCCAAGTTTATTCATATACCATGATAACAAAGTAGTTTAATTAAATTTTTAATGTAACTTTAAAAATTCATGACATGCACACTTCCCCTTCCCATAGTGAGAAGGTTAATAATGTTACTTTAAAACTGTCCTTCTCAAAAGGCAGTTTTGTTTATTCCCTAAAATCAAAATAACACTTACACAACATACATTTAACTTTAGCAGAGATAGACAATCTTTCAAAAAGGTGCTGACCTATTTGTGCATTTAATCCTTAAACATAAAACTTTTACAAAATTTCAAGTACAGACAGAAGTTACTTTAGAACATATAAAAAAGGATAACCTGTTCCACTTTCAGAAGTAAATCTGGATCCTCATTTTTGTTAGCATCATTTATGATCTGAGCAATCCTAATCTGTTCAGCTGTAGGCTATAAAAGACAAGATAGGAAAATATTTAGAAACATGCACAACACAACATTTATATTGTCTCTCTTACAAAACTACGACAAACTTACTTTAACTTATTTCAAATCTAAAATTCAACAAAGAATTTGTAGCATCCCAGTTTACGAGTACAATAATAATAATAATATGACAATGTCGAACTGTATCTTGAATATCACCTACGACAGAAACAAAACCATGGAATTATAGACCTTTATAGAAAAATGTTTTAGCATACACAAATTATATTTCATACACTTATAAAAAGTACATAACATGGAAACGTGCTTATAGCCGAGTGAACTCCAGTAACAAGGTTATACCACAGTGAAATACGTGTTGTTTTTGCTACTCAGAAATGTCAAGAGCTATATGTCATATTCAAAAGCTTTTTAAAGACTTATTTTTGTCAACCTTAAAAATTAAGGTTTCTCAGAATTGTACCACCCATTCTACTTAATTGCGTTTTTACTTTGCACTTTTCGATTCTATTCTTCAGTATTTTCCATGCTGTCTTTTTGGCTGGTTGGACTGCCCCACTTTTGTGTCTGCTGTCTCATAATGAAGCAGATTACAAGAATTCCAAGTTGTTTAATTCCAGTTTCTTTAATGGAAACAAATAAAAAAAAATGACTATTGAATTTATAGGCTGTTAACAGATTATTAAAATGTCTATACGATACTATTAACCTATTCTTCACATTTCTGTTATACTTAATTTGTTCTACATATGCCCTCCAATAAAGGCATTATTCTGAAACTGGGGGGGAAAGCATGCATCACCCGCTTTTTTTCTTAGAACTTATAAATTCATAATCACCTGAATTTTAGGATTAAGCCCATCTGGTGCTTTAGATCCTTCTGTAGCAGGTTTTCCATTTTGAGATTGTGGGGTTTGGGGTTTGTTGCCTCTGTCTTTAGTAGCCCTTCCCTTTGGTGGGCCTGCTGAACTCATTATACACAGTATATACAAAGCAGGGTATATACAAAATCTGAAAACAACATAAAAAAAAGGCATCTTTAACTCTCAGAGATAAAAAAAACAAATATCACATATCTTTACATGCTCGGTAAGGCATATAGCACAACACTTTATACACCAAAAGTGTTTCAATTAACAAATTACCATTTAAATAAACACTACTCCCATGATGATTTGTTTCTAAATAACAATATTTTGAATACCACAAAAGAAAGTATTAACATATAAACTTTAACTACAGTTCAATATTTTATGGCATTGCTCTGGGCTGCAACCTCTAATTTAATTTACATTTGCTAATTTTCAAGTAGCACTGGTGATTCATTACTTTCAATTTTGGTTCAATTTGTGAAGATGACTTATCAACACCAAGGGTATGCAGTTTGCAAGTGATGTATTATATAATAAAGAAGGTTTAGTTTTTTGTGTCAAACCCATGGTACCTAATTTTGAGCTGCCGACCACAGGAAAGTAAGTGGCAGGCAGCACCATTGCCAACTCTTCAGCTACTTTTTATCAACAAATAGCAGGATTGATTATCACATTATTACAACCCGCCCCACAATCAAACGATAAAGCATGTTCAGTACCAGGTTTTGATCAAGCAATCCCAAAATTCACAGAAAACTTTATAAGAAATTAATATATTGACAAGTATGAAAACAATCTTATTTAGAATCCAGAAAATCACATGCTATTGTGTTTAGGGCACTGAGAATATTTACATGACTTACAGATTATTTTTAATATTCCTTTTTAATATTACAATGTAAAAACTCGGATCAGTTTTCTATATAAAAAGATGTTAAGATCAAGTTATACCCATAACTATTAAGATTTGGAAGGGCAGCTTGTCCTATCTTTTTAGCTTAGGTTACAATAACTTATTTTTACTATTGTAACAGAAATTTAGTTGTATTTAGGAAGTATGAAAATCTTCATTTGTAACTCCAGTCTATGTCCAACTGACATCATATAGCAGCATATATTTTTGAATAATAGTAGCCATTTCCTTTTTAGTTTATTATGACTTGCATTCATCAATACTTTTCATATGTACACATTTTCAGAGATTACGAGTTTGGACAACAGAGATCGTTTTGTAACTTTGCTAAATTGCTTTTGATCTAGGTACCTTTTCTCTGGATTATTTCTCTTTGGTGCTACACACACACTTTCTCCTGGAAAAGATAGCTACAGAAGGGTACAGCTGATGACACTATTAAGGTTTGGACAGTAATATTGACCATTCATAAGTTGTGTGTTGTATCAATGATATAACCTCTCTCTCAATCATGAACACAACCAAAAATAAGTTAAAATAATAGCACTGAGTAAACAGTGAATATGAGTTAAACAACTCTCATTACTTCTGTTTATTACCTTTTCTTTGCACTTTGAATTATTTAACCTGGTCCAACATGTCAAATTTGCACAAGTTTACAGAAACATTGGATTAGCTATATTCAGTATATTATTAAACATTCACCGAATAAGAAAAATTATCACTTTTATTGAATACACTTAAAGTTATGAATGTAGTTAGGACTAATTAAATACATTTTCATCAGTTTTCTAAGTAACATGTGTGAGAGTTAAAACCATCATTCACTCTCCAGTTTTGTCCGTTACATATAAATAATTTATAAATGTAATACCAGATCAGTCTTTGTACTTAAAAAGTTCATAAAAGTGGTTTTCTACTTAGAATTTGGCTTTGAATTAAAACGGTAAACAAATTAAGTGACTTCTAAGGAATAAAATTTTTTTCAAGGTTGTTATTGTTTTAAATCTATATGTAATTGGTTGCTTATTAAAAAAAACTGAGAACACTTCAATATCTGAATAGTTTTAAAATTCCATCATTTGACTTGGCTGCTTAGAGTCTGTTTGAGGACCACCTGAATTGTTTTCATTTCAGTGGACCATAATGGGATCTATACAGTAGAATCATTGCTGTAGTGAAATACATTATGCATATATTTAACAAATAAAAAAACAATCTCAACCTGCCTAACAAACTTTTGATATTGGAAGAGAGGACAACAAACATTTCTATGTGTAGCATTGATAAGCATATTCAATCTGCAGCACTTAAATCAAAAATATAAACTTCTATTTCAGTATTTGATTTGCTTCACAGCAATATTATATGTGGTCAATAAAGCAAATAGAACATTGTCTTTATCTTTTGATTGTAAACCAAATTTTTACAGTACCTCAAAGAAATTTTTCTGTTAAATGCAAACCTGTAGCTAGTGCCCACTCCAGAAATATTCAAATTTTAATGTTTCACAAATTTCACACTTGCCTTGGCTGTGTTTTAGTCGACTAGTATTTTGTAAAATACAGACACATTTCAATTATTATACATTATATATGTATATAGATTATTGCTATATTGAAATAAGTTCTTAAACTTATTTATTACTACATCAATACCATAGAATTCCACTATAATCTATCAAGCTAAGAAACTAAGATGTATTTCGGTCAAAAAAAAAAAAAGTAATTTAGAGCAGACTAAAGACACAACCTACCTCACTGAAATCTTGGTTCGAAAGAAAGAAAGGCTGACAAAATCATTAGGGGGACATTCTGAACTTCCGATTGGTTATTCATATGTAGAAGTAAGTGTATATATAAGGAAGCCTTTCCAAAAATCGAAAGAAGTACTTCTGTGGTCGATTTATTATGTGAGCAAAATCTTAGCAAATAGAAAAGACCTTATTTTATATTCTAGCTTGTCAGTATCGTAATTTGAGTTTCTAATTCATATGAAATTATGGACTTAGTATTTTGACTTCACAAACATCTAATTTGAACCAGTGTTGCATTCAACATACCATGTGACACACAATAATCGATGTTTTTTAACATTTACTTTCAAAATAACAAACTGAGTAATGTATAGTTCTAAAATTTGAATTATAATCTATAGTCTGATACCAAACTTATTGACATAAATTAATGAAATAGTAGTTCAATAAAATTTTGAATGTGAGTCAACAAACAAGATGACATAACCTTTCACCTGTGACCCATCTCGAAAGGGTTAATGTAAGAAGTACAACATGTATATATATTTACTATCTAGAGATGGTATCATCTCAGTAGCTCCAAGCATGGGTGTGGTAGTATTAAATTCACTTACGCTACAAGTAAAAGAACAGCTATAGTACAAAGTTTAGATGAAATACCTATGAATTAGGTATATTATTAAAACTTCCTAGAATATCTGAGATGTACATTTACCACAAATACTAATTTCAGCACTTTTAAAAGTGCCAAGCCAACCAGATGCCTCACCTACAATCATCTAATAAACAGTCTGTCCCAGTATATTATGATCATTTAAGGCTTATATAGGTGAATTGTATATAATACATACATTTGTACTTATTTTACATACAATCAGCAAAAGTCTTACAGCAAGTGTAACCATTTCTAGACCACTAATATTCTAACAATAAATAGTAATAGTAGTATAACCAGCACCGATAGGTATTTGGCTTAAAAATAAACATCATTTTCAAAATAACCTAAAGCTAGAAATTTAAGAAGCAAATTCCTTTCCATATATTCTAGTATTAATAACAAAACACTTATTTATACCTAATTTTCATACACGGATGCAATGCCATGAGAGAAAGTATTCCAAAATTTTGGGGAACAGACCTTTAAGTAGACATCATGAAAACTTCATTATTTACCATACTTAATGACCAGCAATATGAAAGATAAACACTGACCAAATGAGTGAGTGGTTTCACATGAAAATCCTCTACAGGCTCTAATTTTATCAGAGCAAAAAAAAAGCACCACAATTGATCATTTTATGCCTAAAAAGTAAAAAATTGCCTTGCCCTGTCTGCACATAGGGCATTATCGGTGGTACCATTCAACAATGAAGACTGCTTTTATTCATAATTAGTAGGTATACAGAAATTATGATAATCTAATGGCCTGATATCCATTACTAATATATTTATTTTGGTTAAATTAGGTAGATCTTCTAATTTATTTAAAATCTACAAACAAAAGCAATAACAGAAGTCCTTAAAAATTAATGTCATTTAGAAAAACTCTGACTTGTCTTTCATGATGACATACACTATAATGCTTACAATGCATCCTGGATGCTCATATTTCTATATATAATAGTACATTTAAAATATATTCCAATTACAAATATTAACATTTCATGTTTCAAAAAAGTCTTTGTTATTAAAAAACACTTCAAAACTAAGTTATTAAGGCTTTGCTGTATCACAATTTGATATTATTATACCATCCTTAACATAATAGACAGAAAAGAAAGTGATCATCTGATCTGGTTTTTCAAAGCTGTTTCTGCATACTCATCCTTGAGAAAAACTAAAAACTTAAACCCACCCTTTATTTTTCAGGAAATTATCTAGTTGCTTTAAGTGCTGGCTTCCACTACTATTGATGATAAATCATTCCAATACAGGAAGTACATGTACATCTAGTACACCCTTTTTTTCTAAATGTTTTGGGCTCAAGTATGAAGTGCATACCATCCAAGTGAACAGTTTTATTCTAGTATTTTTAGGTGAAATTTTCAGTCCAAATTTTGCCTCAACACATCTTAATTGTTTGTCGCTGTTGGATCAGTGGAGGTAAAAAAAAAAAAGGACCACAATGCAGGGGAATAAACAAAAGTCAGAACTCCTGACATTTATCTTTTAGGCTTTAAGTCATACATGTAGAACAGGTTCATTTTGTCATCCATATGAAATGCATGGTTTAAATGATGATATTTGCTAATAATGATCAGTTGTAATAAAATCATGGAAAACTTTTATTTTCGGAAGCTTAAAATGATTTTACTATCCTACGCTTTATATACAGGGCATTGTTTAAAAACATATACATACACAAATTACAGGTGACGATACAAGTTCAACCTTTGTTTGTTCATTAAGTAATACGGTTAATTAGTTGACAATGGTATTTACACACACGTACAGTTACTAATCAGAATAA